CGTTCGTCCGAAGAATTTCGTGTCATTCGATCCTGCTTTCCTACTTTTTTTTTTTTCTTTACGACGAGTCCCCCATCCTCTCCTACTTCCTTCTTATGTGCCAGGAAAACGACCCTTTTCTTCTTCCTTTTTCTGTTGGTTTATGTCGCATTGCATTCTTGATCAGCTTTCCATGAAGCATCTAGTATTTTATTTATTTATTTATTTATTTTTCATTATTATTAGATCGTTTCAAGTCGTCTCTCTTGATTGTATCCTATTTTTATTTGTCTATACTAGAGAATCATATTTAATTTTAGATTGCTATTTAGAGCGCAGCAATGTAGATCAGAAATATACTCGAAATCATCTTTAACAAGAAATGTTTACTAAAATGATATATACAGATGTCGAAAACAAGATGGACTAATGACGAAGATAAATGTCAGATAATATGTAATTACGAAAACACTGCAGCGCTATATAATTACACGATGATAATATTTTAATAATCAAAATATTAATATGTGATATTTATTGAAAAAACAGAATATTAAAATATTTGTTTATTAATAATGAAATAGAATATTACTGTACAAAAAATGATGCTTTTCTTCAGCTCGAGGTATATTGATGTTTTAAATCTAATCGTTCAATTTTGTACTGTAAATAAACAATTATGACACATATTTTGCAAGTTGCATATAGAAGTGCAATTGATTGCAAGGCGCGTTTGACGTTTCATCGTGAATGCCGGCACGAGCTTGTGAATAGAATTGCTGATGAAGTAGATGCTTTCGCGCTCGAGAACTACCGCAATTTACTACCGCTTTAATATTTTGAAATTCTCGACTTTTTCTTACCAATGAAAAACATCGTAACATCGCGGTATTATCGAGATATAATGCGCAAGTTGCAACACATTTCTTTTTTTTTTTTTTTTTTTTAAGAGCAACTACGAATAAAAAAAATTAGAAAAATTTTCTTATAAAAAAAAAAAACAGTAAACTTTTTATGTTATTATATATACATATAAAGGTAATAAGAGCTAATTAAGTTCTTTCATTAATATTTATTTGTGGAAAAAGATTTATAACATAAAATAGACAGAAATAAATTCGAACGTTTCGGTTGCCTTTTTCAATCTTCTTCAGCGCATCATTTAAAATTAAAGATTAATAGAAATTAACAATCAATTATTCATAACTGTCAAGCTATTTTTTAAAAAACGAAATCACAGCATTTTTAAAGCATGAGCATTTTTATATATTCTATTCTTTGAATCGTCATTCTATGTAATTGTCGCGAAAATCTCTCGCTAATTGTTCGGTTAATATTTTATGTTATAAATCTTTTTCCACAAATAAATATTAATGAAAGAACCTAATTAGCTCCTATTGCCTTTTGTATGTATATTAATTTTTAAAGAGCTGTTACAAGTTATATTTCATGTTATTGTTTAAATAACATGAAATGTTCACTGTTTTTTTTTTTTTATAAGAAAATTATTGTTATAACTTCGAAACAGTTTTTTTAATATTCATGTAATGCAGCACTTTGCCTTGGCGAATGAACGAATCGACTATCTGCCAATAGCTTACGATCTATCATCTGAATTATTCGCGATTGCAATTACGAAGTTGATTATCTACGTGCCACGTTGGAGGAGCCGACGAGACGCCAGCGATCTTGTAATTTGCTCGTTGCAATTTCATCTCCTACACACTCGTGCTGCATTCGTATTCAGTCGCGACGCTCGTTACACAATGGACCATCATTCTGTTGTCACCTATTTTAAATCATATTTAGAGCAATTCAATGACTTTAAAATATACAACCAGAGAGATGATTAGTTTGTAAAACAATTATGGAAAGTTAATTTTACGGTAATTGTAGCATTACGACTATACAAAACATTAGCAAAACCTAAAGCTTTCTCTCATTGAGAAATTAAGAGAAGCTTGGACGATTTTACTAAAATATATTGGAATTTTATAATTATCTCTTTGACTAAAAAAAATATTTAAATAAAAATTAAACGCGAGAAACTGTTTCACGTTATTATATATTAATAACATCTCATTTATTTATTTATTTATATGCACGTATGTAAACGTTAAAAGATAGTAATTTTGAATAAATAAAAATTTGTCGGATAATTAAATTAATTAATTAGTCGCAACACTCCTTACATAATGGACTGTCATTCTGTTGTCACCCATTTTAAATCATATTTAGAGCAATTCAATAACTTTAAAATATACAACCAGAGAGATGATTAGTTTCTAAAAAAACTTATGGAAAGTTAATTTTACGATAATTATAGCATTACATGACTATACAAAGCATTAGCAAAACCTAAAGCTATTGTTATATGTATTTCTCTAGCCAATAGAAAATATTTTCCAGCAGCTTTCTCTCATTAAGAAATTAAGAGAAGCTTTGGACGATTTTACTAAAATATATTAGAATTTTATAATTATTCTCTTTGACTAAAAAAATATTTAAATTAAAAATTAAACGCGAGAAATTGTTTCACATTATTATATATTAATAATATTTAATTAATTAATTAATTTATATTTATTTGCGCGTATATAAACGTTAAAAGATAGTAATTTTGGATAATTAAAAATTTGTCGAATAATGAAATTAATTGTACTGTCACATTTGAGTACTTTAGTTGCGTTGCAGTGCGTGCATTCGATTATTACACATTTGCATCTTCGACGTACGTTTGTGAATCATATTACGACACTGTCGTAACCTCGATCCGCAGCATTACGTGGCTTACGTCGATCTCACAATGCACACATGCCGCACGTAAACGCGAAGACTTTATACGCGGTATATGGGGCCATTTTACACACGAGGAAACGTCTACATAATAGATCAGTTAACGACGAAGCGCGTTAACCTGGAGTACAAACGATTGACGTATCGCGGTATTGATCCTTTTCTCGGTTTCCCTTGGACGTTGACACATTTACAGACGCGGAGCTTCCACCCTCGAAAATGCTATTAACGCGTTTCGCTGAAACTGCAAACCCTGCTAGCTGCTGATCGATATCTATTCCCTGTACACACGTTGCATTTCTTGAGGGGAAATCCCACTATGCGGTGAAGACCCCTAATTGGCGTCAACGAAAGGTCGAGCACGAAAATATAGTTTGCTTTCGGAAATGGCACGGAATATTTCTCTCGTGAATCATACATGTATACATAATTATTCTTTTAGAGAATTATATTTTTCTGTATAATTATTTCACCATCAATTTTGAGATTAATAATATTCTCATTTAGAAAGTTATTAAATGCTTGAAATTTTTTTATTAAAAAATGACATTCTTTCGTATGAGTTTAAATATATTATATCGTTTATGTAAAAATAATAATATAGGCATCACTGTTGAATTTTTAATATTATAATATTCTCTCGAAGGAAACGCTAAATTATCTAGCTGAAAGGCAGTTGCCACATGCATCCTAGATCAATATTGCAGACGCTTATTGGTGCATACGATGCGCAGCGTGCATTGACTGCGCCGAAGGGCCCTTTGACTCGATCTCGGTAAACGTAATGTAATTCTGAAGTTGCAATGCTTGACTAGGGAGATAAAGTTATCAGGGTTTTTCTCGAGAACATAAATATTTAATAGTATAACACTATCATCATTATTAACAACGCATAAGTAAATTTCTACATCTGCCTGCGAGAACAGACATAATTTGTCTGGCTCCGATATTTAATTCCTTTGATATTTATTATAGAAATTTTTATAAAGACAATCTTTTATTGGGTATTAAAAGAGCAATGCAGTAACACTTTATTATTCTGGTATTAATCAAGTAATCTTGTTATGTGCAAAACCAGTTTAAACTGACGGAATTAGGACACCGCGTGCATACATGATGATAAAATATGACAGACGCCGGACATCTTCCCAGCTAACTGGATTATAAAGCCTTGTATATATATAACAACTTTCCATTTATAAATTACATTCAAATATAACTTTTGACTCCAGTTATACTCAATTTGACGAAACTTATTAGTAGTATTGTTACAGCTTATTATATACCTTTTACAGAAATATATAATAAATCACATTTTTTAAATATATACGGAGAGAAGTTTCTTTTAGAATTTATATCCTGAAAATCATGGCAATAAAAAATATTAATATATACATACTAAATTTTAATAAAATTAATCAAACATATTTTATATCTTACTGTAATAGATTATTAATATATCTTTTTCTGATAAATATTAATCAGAGAAACTCTAAGGTGAAATTTTAAGAGAAGATTCTCTTTGTATATAATTATGCTAATATAAAAAATTTTTTAAACAAATCTGTAGAATTTTATATGCAACTATGAAACTTTATCCATCTTCGAGGTGTCTTAAAATGTTAATTGTCAAATATTCGCTCTGCATTTTTATAAGCGCAAACTTATAACATTAATTTATAATTATTCTATATATTTATAATTTTTTACAATTTTTTTAGACAATCTTTTGCAAATATGCAGTGTTTGCTGTTATCTATAATAAATAAAATTACATAGATCATCTATTTTGGCGTCATCTCATCTTTATAGATAATAAAAATATGTAAAATATATATATATATATATATATATATATATATCTTAGATGAAAAAAAGTATTATTTTTACTATAATTATCTAGAATAATTCTCAGATAGACGAATCGCCATATAATTTTATCTTTTATCTAGATATATTTAAAACAAGATCATCTTTATCTTATCTAAGATGAATTTACATACATTTTTATCTCATCTTTATCTAGCTAATTTTAAAATCATCTAAGCACAACACTGCAAATATGTGTTGAGCACTCAATAGATTACTAGAAAAAAAAATGCGGCAAAATACAAAGCGCAAAGTCACTTCGGCCGATCTAAGATTAGGCTTTCGCAGGGCGTAGTCAACCGTGAAAAGTAAACGTTATCTGCGTCGACTGTACGGGTTGACAATCTCGTGGGACTCGACGCAACGAGTCTCCTCTAATAGCAGTCGTCGATCGGCGGTCGTAGCGATCGTATCGCAGCTATTTCGCGTCAATTTTTCATATTATTCGGAATAATTGAAATTCAGATTAACCCATCGAAGTGAATGATCGATTAATCGGATCGAAAAATTCCAGCGGCGTATAAAATTTCGCGTATACACGAAATGTATATATATATATATATATATATATATATATATATATTTATAGTGAAAATGCATACTCAATATAGTCAAGTTTATATATAGGTTCCTACATTTTGTAAAAATGCATCACGCTATCGTCGATGCACTCAGCTCTCGGCAAACAATATCAATCACCTTCGGCAAAATTGATATCTCGTTAATCTACCGAGGATGTTATTACCTAGAAACGATACTTGTTTCATAATGACATGTATAGGATAAGATAAATTAGACTAAAAAAAATATCAAAAACGTTTAATCTCAATTTATTAGATTCATCGCAACTAAATTAATGATCAGTGTCCCCTATAATTTCGTATGAAACTTTTCGTAGTTCGTAGGAAACTTTTTCAAATTGACTTAGCAAGAAAAAGACGCGTTGATCATCAGGCAAAGTTGATTGATTCTCTCATTTAAATGTCACATGATTTTCTGACAGATCGAACCGGCTCCTCTGACAAGTCACAGATCGAATTTTTCATCGGCCAAAATTCGCGCGCACCAACTGTCTGTGCAGTTTAACGCTATCTTATCGGTATCTCGGGACATCGGGCGGGGAAAGTAATAAAAAAAAAAAAAAAGGAAGAAGAGTTGTGTGTGCCGGGCGACTTGTGGCCCTGAAGTTACGCAACGCAGCCAACCAGGCACAATGAAATCGAAGACTAGCGAGAGTCTCATAGCGAGTGAAAGCAAGGCGGGGATCTTGAGAGACGTTGCCAACGAGCACAAGCAAAAACAGTTGAAAAAGGTAAGGGAACAGGATGGAACAGACCGCAAAAACCGACGAATCTCGTTTAGTTTCCTTGAGGCAGCTTTATTCCGCGATCGCCGCAATGTGAACGATCCTTTACTCTTTACGTCATTTCGCACCCGTCTGTATAATTATATTATATGTATAGACGATAACGTGGCAAGATTGAGATTAGATGCGATAGATTTCTGATGATATAATCGCTGTAATTTTCGAAAGATTTTATAAATGATATTTAAAATGAATCATCGGCCTTTCGACGTTGACTTTTCCTGCAATATCGTTATCTTTCAATTTGGTGTTCGTTCTCCATCACTTCCTCATCTCATTGTGCATGTTTGCATAATGGTGATAATAATAAATAAATGGTGATATTATTATAGATAAGAAAAATTTACGGGTAAAACCCGCGCGGCGATAATGTCAAATAAAGCATGTATCGAAATATTTGCTCGTCGTATCATATTCATTAATCGTTAGAATTATCGATTTGCTGAATGCATTAATTTTCATCGAAAAAATTAATTATTACGTGAAATAATAACTTATAAATATAAATCCTCCCATTTCTCCGCCTCTATTTTTCAATTTACAGAATTGAAATCGTATCGCGTGCTGAAATAAAATACGTGTCGACGAAAAAAGAGGCTCGATATAATTAAAATTTACGCGATAGTGCTAAATCGATTATATTGCGATAATATTTTACGGCGTGCCGATCATCATCCGCGCTTATCAACTCGATTCACAACTGGTTTAAAGTCCCGGCGATGTATCACGGCGACACTTAATTACACGATGCGAAAGTACCGTGTGTATAATACGCGCGCGAGCCGCGGTATATTTCAGAAAAACGAGATATTTGCATATTATGCGATGCTCATGCCTCACAGCCACGAATATCTGCGTCACGATTTTCGTCGTTCGTGACGAGGCGAATCCGAAGAACGTGACGTGGCGCCGAAAGCATTTTTAACCATTCTGATATATATTGTGCTCCGAGGAGAAAAATATATTCCGCTCGTGTCTTTCAGCACATATAGTTGAAAAGTGCCAAAAACACCTTTTTTTATTTATTTATTAACACTATAGTCCGCTTTCCAAATTATAAACGATTTAAATCTAAATTTAGTACAAGCTTAACAGGGTGTCTATACAGAGAGAATTTTCTTTCAGAATTTACCCTGAAAATCATAATAATCATGGACAATATGGTATTGGAAGAATTTTAGAAGAGTTTCTCTGATTAATATTTACCACAATAAAAATATTAATATCTACCACAATAAAATATCAAATATCATGAATTTTACTATGTATTGTACATATTAAAATTTACTATGTACGTATTAATATTTTTTTATTGTGATAAATATTAATCAGAGAATTCTTATAAAATTATAAAAACAGTTAATCTCGGCTCGAATTATTGTGTTACAATAAAAATAAAATCTCAACGGCAATCGGAGCCTGTGCGGACGACATGCACAAAATTAATAAATTAAAATGAGATCTCAAATCAAACTCATTTATTAAATTCTAAACGTTTCGACCCCTTCGGGTAGTAGCTGCAAAATACAAATAAAAGATAATCGGTACAAACAAAAATTATAAAACTCATATACATACAATCCGCAAATAAATTAAATATCATTCTCCTCCCTATTCAAACCGTCCGGCCGTCGGAGCGTCTCCCTAACGGTGACCATCGTCAGGAAGGAAGCAGAGCAATGACTCCTTACCAACACTAATCAACATAGTATAGATTAAACGTAGAAAAATCCACAAAATTAAAAATTAAAAACCGGGAAGTACATTCACCCCGACAGTAAAAACAGAGAGAAGACGATGCTACACGTGACACATCACTCTAACGACTGTGCGGTATTCTACCTCGACACAGTCGATACATATATACGCAAAAAACAAAATTCTTCCAATACCATATTGTCTATGATTATGATGATTTTCAGGGTAAATTCTAAGAGAAAATTCTCTCCGTGTAGCGGTCAGGGAAATCTGGAAACCGGACATTGTCAGGGAATTTTATAAATCTGGAATTGTCAGGAAAAGTCAGGAAATTTTACTATTTATCTGGATTTTTTCACATTATTCTACATTTGTCTCAATAATTTGAAATTTTTTATTAAATGAATCTAAACTTTTCCTCGACTCCCAGCACGCTAATTTTCTGTGTTGTTTAAAAACGATTCATCTATAGTGTTTGTTAATTTATATTTTCATCGTGTTGTTTTATTTCAATGTGTTTGATAGAGATAAAACTAAAAAATTTAATATAATATAAATAAAAAAGGTGATTAGTTAAATAGTTTAGCCAAACCTTTTTATTGTTGACAAAAATATCTCAAGGATTTCATGATTTAATATTTAATTGATTTATCATATAGATATATGCAAATTATATATTTGGAAAAAATAATACTAAAAAGTAAGGCAAAAATTAATTTCTGGTCTTGGAAAATCTGAAAAAGTCAAGGAATTTTTTTCATCAAATTTGTTATTTGTTAATCTTAGATATCGTCCCGATGAGATGTCTAAAATTGTAAAGTGCTTTTCTTTTGTTTATTGAAACAACACTGGACAGCTGAGTTAGCGAACAAATGTTAATAAATATACTTTGGCGCGCGAAGAATTCTTTATTCACTTCACGGGATGTAATTATTGCGATTTCGCTTCGTTCACGCTATTGATGATGAAAGTACGCACACATTGCGAATAAAAAAAAAAAAATATATATATATATATATATATATATATTTGTAATTCAATTACTCTCTCATTCATCGTGGGATTCTAATTATTCGCCCCATGCATTATTAAACAGTTGCCGGACAATTGTCATACAATGAGCACGTGTCGACAAAAATGCATTTCTTCATGTTACATCATGTTACGATCAGATTCTGTAAGATATTGCAAAGATAATTTTACAGAACGGTATGCACAGCCTTGAACCGCATTGAATGCATTATGCAGCAGTTATAATAAGAAATCTCTATTTTTATATGTATTTTTATATTGTGTGCATATATTACTGATTGAAGTAAATCATCATTGAATTTGTCGGTGCACATATCTTAGAACGACGAAAATAACATCAAGGAAACCTGTTACCATGTGCACAGAGATAAAAATAACCGCAAAAACCACAATTATCGTACAGTTACGTGCTTCATAATCTTTGAACGATATATATTTTTATTAACTCGTTCTCCGCAAACAATGCGTATATTAATAATTTTTAATGCAATATATTTAATGCAATATTTAATGCAATATTTAATGCAATATTTAATGCAATCTTATGCCTTACATCAATTTGTTATCGCAAGACAATTAAAATGTGTGTGCGATAGTTTGACACGTTTTATTAATTAAAACGAATTTAAGCATGGACGATAATTAAACTTGATATTTCCTTCGTCAATAATTTTCCGTTGTAAGGCTAGTTACGAAGAACAGCATTTTTCGCGAGCACTAAAATAAAATAATTTTTATATTAAGAAATTGTTTTAAACTATTATTTCATTATTATTTGAATTTCTTTTTTATATTTTGTTTAGAAATTAAAAAAATTTTTAGCAGTCTAGGAAAATTGAAACAGAGTACAAACGTGAAACAAATATTTTTAGAATAATGTATTTCTGTAAATCAAAAAATATTAAAGCAGGATTTATAAATTATTATTTTGCTTAATTAATCATGAAAATTAATGTGTCTAGCAAATTGATAATTGTAACAAATGTGGCATTGTGGCAACAATTAATATATATATATATATATATATATATATATATATATTTTAAATAATTGAACAGAAATAAGCTCTTAAAACATGTTTTAGTTAGGAACAGTAGTTCTGCAGATGTTCCTCTTAAACATGCATTCAGCGAAATTTAAGATACACGTGTTCTTCTGTTATATTATTCTATGTAAGCTTTTATTCCGATCTGTTTGAATTATAATGTAATATAAAGTTACATGTATAGTTATTATAAAAACGCAGATTAAACAGAATTTAGTTGTTTTTTGAGTTATCATATTTGTTTAAAAAAACTCATTAGATTTCTGTACAGTATATATATTTTCTCATATTTTCTCAATATAATATTTAGCAATACAAATGGATACAACACAATATTAAATAATACAACAGTAATTACATTATTTTTAATCATAATTTTTTTCTAAGGTAGTTTTAACTCTTCTATTAATTCTTTAGGATTTTAAAATTATTTTATATTTTTAGATGCATGTTAAAAAAAATCATACAATTTATAAAATAATTTTTTTTTCTAAAATAGTTTTAACTCTTTTATTAATTTTTAGTATTTTATAATTATCTTATCTTTTTAGATACACGTTAAAAAAATCGTACAATTTATAAAAGGAAAACTAGCAATAAGTCACAAATGAGAGTAAAAGTGTTTTCTTGATTGATATCAACATATATAATAGAAACATGTAATAAGAAACTGCTGTGCACAGAATAAACGCTCGATGCATGGCAGAAAAGTGTAAGGCGATTAGGTATAATGAGAGACAGACATTTATTGCACGATCGATTACTATCCGATCTTATAACCCAGAGTGCAACACGAGAAAGATCAGGGCAGTCCAGGGTCGCTGCGTTTGATCCCACTTTGCCACATCCTATTTAGACCACTTATGAATCATATTAACATACCACGTTGCCGTATGACGGTACCTATGTAGAACAGTCACGACAAAATCATATTCTTCAATTAATTTTGCGTGTATTTTGTGTCGCAACCAAAAACAATATAGAATTCGAGATTTATTTTTCCAAGATATTTAATGTTACAATATTGTGCTTAGATGATTTTAAAATTAGTTAGATAAAGATGAGATAAAAATATGTAAATTCATCTAAGATAAGACGAAGATGATCTTGTTTTAAATAGATCTAGATAAAAGATAAAATTATATGACGATTCATCTAGATAATTTTCTAGATAATTTTTAAGACTGCTTATGTAAACACAGTTAAAAAAATGTAAATTATAAAAGAGTTATAAAAATATATATATATATGTATATTCATATTTTTATTTATACATTTTTATCGCTTGCTTAAATTCTACTATCTAAGTATTTTATGTGTCATGATTCTATATCAAAATTATCTGAAAATTATTCTAGATAATTTAGAAAATATAATTTTTGTTTATCTAATGCAGATATAGATAATACATATTTTTATATAAAGCTAACGCCAAAGTTTCATCTAGATGATCATCTATATAATTTTATTTTAATTTTATTTTTATTTTTATTTCATTTTTATTTTTATTAAGCTAAGATGACGTCAAAATTACATATAGATGATCATCTATATAATTTTATTAGATAACAGCAAACACTGGTTACAAATATAAAATGTTATAAATAATTTAACGCATAAACTTTTACGTATAAGAGAATAGATTCTTTATTTAGCTTTAAGCATTAATATTCCACAAATGCAACAATTTGATTTTTTATGCAACTGAATGACGCAGAAAGTTTTTACACAATGATAAAGTAATACAGATATTAATAATTAACAACGTGATTGAAATATCTGCATTGTTATTTAATTTATGCTTTAAAGAGATACATATATTCACACAGCTGCCATAATTTCTTCGATTATTTCATAAAAATTAATTCATTTTAGCTTTTTTGGAGCAATTAAAAAAAGTATGATCAAAATCAAAATGGAGAAATATAAATTTATATTAATCAACATTTTTTTTCTCTTATTTGCCACAAAATTCTTTCGTCGAAAGACTCGATTAAACAATGCGATTTAATTTTATTTTTTTGTGCTGCACGTGACATCGACGTGCTGTTATCGTATCGATGACTATAGTTGACACTTCGCGCGTGAATCGCGGGAGCGATAAATTTCGTTATCGTCTCTGTTGGACCTATCGACCAACATTTTTTCTGACCACAGATTTTTTCACCGTGGTTGAAGCGTGCCGTAAATTAAACGAGATGTGACGCTCAGACGAGGGTGTGTCACTTTATGGACGAGTGCCCCCGTTCGATTAAATGCGAGCTCGCATCGTAACGGTGCTCGAGTCGTGACTTTATACTTTATTCGCACTCTTCTTCTCGGCTAGATAGAGAAAGTAACCTCGGCATTATTTGAAACCGGAAGAGTTAACCGTGCGCGTAACAATATGCTTAATTTCAGCCGAAGCATTGAAATTGTTTCGCCATACTTACTTTCTATTTATTATTACAACACTGTATTTTTCTATACGCAAATATTATCATAGATTTAATGGGCGCGTATTTAAAGTTCAATTTTTCTTTTGCAGCAAACTCGACGTTAATTTTCGTTTCATTTGTACAATGCATATAACTTTGTCATGAATAATCAGATTCTCAGAATTAAAATTTCCATAGATTTTAGAATTCAAAATCCAATTGTTCTGTAAATAAATTGTTCTCACAGCATTTAGATATATCGAAACAAAGCGGATGCGTTTAACAACGACTGCCTACATGTGGAGAGAATTTTTTTTTTTCGCGCTTGTCGACTTTAACTCATATAACGACTCGATGACGTCAGATATACGAGGAGGCTATGATGTCAACGCGTATTTTTAAAAATATACGAGATTCAACCTCCGGCTTTGAAAGTTTATGCATGTTTTCTCTTTTTCAAGTTATTTATAAATATCACCGATATTTGCTTTTGTTTCATTGAGTCCGCGTGAAATTTTTGGTAGCACGGAATTCCTGCGAAGTAAAGTCATTCATTTGAAGCATATTCGTGAGACTTATACACAGGATGTTTGAAACACTTTGTATTTGCCAAATAGCTTAAGAGAGTTTAAATTTTCAGCAAAAGGAAGCATCGAAAGAATTTGGAAAAAAGTGTTATATTTATTCGTATTTCTTAAAATGTCAGTTCTAATTATTTTGCAAATTAAACCTTCACTTGCAATTAGATTTCTATAAAAGCATCTACTCGATATTAATTTAGAAATAATATTTTATATACGAAATTTTTCTCCTGAATTGGAACCTGTTTATTAATATAAATCTTCGGAAATAATTACCCAGAAATAATTAAAACCGTCGAATTCTCTCAACAGATAGAAAGAGCGACTTCGTTAAATGAGGTATTCGCAATTAACAGACGGTTAGTTCGTTACGCAGAATATTGCTCCGTATTTACATAATAAAAAGTCTGTTTCGCACCAACGAGATCGAATCGTAATGCAACGCTGTTTCCCGTGCATCTTTTTTTTCTATGCACACATCATTAACTGAAAACAAGGTGGAACAACCGGATTCGGTGCAACGAGCGCAAATAGAGCAAAATTATTCGTTCTGCTTCTCTAAATATTGATCGTATTGCGTGAGGAAACACTTCTCTGACATTTCATGCACAATACAGCTGTGCTATAGATATATTTATCGTGGATTGCCGTTGAAAACAACCGATAACTCAATAAAAGCGCCACATTCATCGCGTTTTGTCGTATAGGAGCTGACTGACTCATCGATTTAAATGACTAAATGGAATAAAAGCGCTTGTTTTGACGACCTTTTTTAACGCTTTCTGCTTCTTCGAGAATCTTCCCTACTAAATTACTCCCCTACTTAATTACTCTGGCGATACCGTAATTTCAGATATATAAAGTACAAGATGACGGAAAAAACACACTTAAGTCGCAGTTATCTAACAATAAGAATTCATATTGAAAAAGAATAAGTTATGCTACTCATGTCGAATCAAGATATGCTTTATTGATAACGTAATTATCATGTAATGAAGGAATGCTTAAATATATGCGGATACACGATCATACTATAAGTATAGATTTCTATTCTAAAATGGATGATTAATGAATAATGTATCTATAATATATTACTCGTAACATAACATGTGCACCCATAGGCGTCCGCATGATTTTTTTCAGGAATTTTTTTTGTTCTTTCTTAATTTTTTTCATTTCTTTAATATTAAATATGCAAATAAATTCGAGTGTTTATTCAAAAGAGAGAAAATAGTGATAAACAAGTGATACATCAAAATCCTTTTAGCTGATTGTTATATGTACTTATAAAATAGAAAAAAGATGAAAAATCCTTTGCACATAGTATTGCAATATTTAATTATTATTTCAAAAGATATCAGGAAAATCAATTAAAGTTGCTCAATTTTTTATAAAGAAATTCCTATACTAAAAAAAAACAGATATACATATACATAAATAGACATTATCTTATCTTATTTAGAATCTTATATTATTTAACCTCATCATTAAACTTTTATGTTTTAATTTGCGAAATCTGTCTAAAAATATACAAATATCAGTTAGTGGAAATCGAATGTGATTATTTTGGAACTTATCCAGATCGTCCGAATAGGAAGCGCTATTATTATACTCGCGAGACAGTCTAATCTTCTTCCTGAAGGCGGACATTGTAATGCACCCTTCTAGTTGACGACAGCTGCATTATATAACAAGTTAGACGTTACGTGTGCTTTAAACGAGCGCCCGATGATCACGCGAGTACGAGCAAGTGGAAGATGCGAGTCGCCATTGTTGCGTAAACACTCGTAGAAATCTCGAATGATCAGCACGCACGAGCGAACAGGTGTATGATTCATACAGTCGTTTTGTTTTTATTTCTATCTTCCATCTCGCAGACATTCTTGCGGGAAAAAGTTCACGCTGCTAATAATCACTTTATTTAGCAATTTTTAATAGTAGGCTAAAAAATGTGTGATCTACTTAAATTTGTTATTTTTTGGAAATATATTGTATACCAAATTAGTCTTCTTCAAGACTATTAATAATAAAAATAAGATAAAAAAACAGATTGCAAAAATATCCTAAATGTTTAAAATAAAAATTTTCTAAATGCTTGTTCGAAGATATAAATGTTCGATACAGGTTTATAAATTTATTGCGCATGAGGGTGCTTGCGAATTAATTATTCTCTAAATTCATTTTATTTTCGCTAAATTGGATATTGGATTATCGGATATTAGATTGTATGAAAATAAAATGGAAAACCAATAATTCGCAAAGGAGATCCATCTCTCAAATAGCGAACGCTTTGTTGTTTCAGGTAAGACATTTTGCCAATCCTGCAAGAAGAAGTGCACCGGGGAGGTGCTACGTGTGCAAGACAAATACTTTCACATAGGGTGCTTCAAGTGCGCTCAGTGCAATGCCAGTTTAGCACTGGGTGGATTTTTCACGCATGAAGGTTCCTATTATTGCACCAAGGTGAGTTGCGTGTTTTTGTTCGACATATAATCATATCTCAAATATGATCTCTTCATAAGAATCTTTTGTTGCGGAAAAAAAAATAAGAGAAAAAAATATATTTGACATTTGAAATAAAATTTTGATCTGCTATTTCTTGCTTGTAGGATTATCGGGAACGCTGGGGTACACGATGCGCCGGTTGCGGGGAATATGTGGAAGGTGACGTGGTGACAGCCGGCGAGAAGCACGCATTTCATCCGAATTGCTTCCATTGCCAGAGATGCCGGCAACCGCTGCTTGGACAAGGGACCAAAGTATCTCTTGTTCAAGGTATCTGTTTAAAACACAATTGATTCTTAACTCGCTTTAAGGCCGAGTTGATATATTGCAAAATAGTGTATTCAATCTGTATATCGTTATTTATTGCACATCACCTTTTAATATAACAATATACACGCAGTCATCACCAAAATGAGCACGGCGGAACGACGTGTAGGAAAGTTGCTAATTCAAATAGACGTTTCTATCAATTATAAATAGCGATGCGTGCTGAGATTACGCAGCCAGCGTCACTTTAGTGCAGCTTTCACAATTAGCGTGGCAGTCAATCTGTTAGAGTAAATTGCCACTTGGGCATATCGTTGCTCCACTATTACAAGGCCGCGTGTCTGTACTATGTCCTTGTAACTATTATGCAGTCAAAAGTAAAAACCTGGTGTGACGTGCATCAGTTTACGGTGATATGGTACAATGGTCCAACCGTGTCACACATTTCTCAAGAAATTGAGGTCATTATAAATAAATTGCATTGAATCTCGTATTTAAATATCTCGTTAACATCTTATATTATCAGAAAATAAAATAGAAATAAATTCTATTTTTTTTTCTCATATTTAATTCACGAAAAGATTCGCTGACAGCATCTCATTTTTTATCAATAGCTTTATGAAAATATATTTGATATCATTTTTTGGAACCTTATATAATTCTTGATGTTGGATTACTGCCATTAATAAAGCAATAATTAATGTCTTATATATAGCTACTATATGTATAATAGATTTTAACTTGTGTCATCTAGATTGATTGTATCCGAATGAAAGAATTATAGGAATTAATGTGAAATTGAATGATAAGTATCATAATGTAAGAGATGTAAAGGTTGATACGTAGCGCGAAGGCTAATGATGACGCCAGATCCGTTGCCGGATTTCATTAATCTCCGCGAATTGTGTATTCGTAGGTCAAGCGCTGTGTCACCGATGCGTTGTTATCCCAGTTCGCGAGGCCTCTACGCCGCTCGGTAATAACGCCGGTAGTAAAGGTGGCGGACACGCTGACCCTGGTGCCTGTGCTGGTTGCGGAAAGCAATTGAGGGAAGGTCAGGCATTGGTCGCGCTCGATCGCCAATGGCACGTTTGGTGCTTCAAGTGTCATAGCTGCGACACTGTGCTCCATGGAGAATACATGGGAAAGTGAGTCACTTGTGCGATTCACAATTATCTCGTGATTCGATCATCCAGAGTATTAATTGCATTCTTTTAATTATTCTGTTTTTTTTAACAATGCAGTCATAGAATTAGATAAGTTTAAAAACAAAAACATTTAAGAAAATAGATTTATCTGATTAACATAATGTTGTGAAAATTTATGTATTTCAACATTAAATGATTCTTTTAAGACTGGGGTCTCGAAACGGATAAAGATATAAAATAAGTAGACTGTAATAATTAATTCTTTTTTTTTTCAATAGAGACGGCGTACCCTACTGCGAGAAGGATTATCAGAAGCAATTTGGAGTAAAATGCGCCTACTGCAATCGTTACATCAGCGGCAAGGTTTTACAAGCTGGCGACAACCATCATTTCCATCCGACTTGCGCTCGTTGTACGAAATGCGGCGATCCGTTCGGTGACGGGGAGGAAATGTACCTGCAGGGTGCCGCCATATGGCACCCGCGCTGCGGTCCAGGACCTACCACCGGACCTAATGGTATCGTGAACGGACACGATGCTCACACTCCGCAGCATCGGGATCGGAGCGAATCTCTAGCAGCGCTTCGGAGATGCAGGTAAGTCCGGTTGCAATGCGCAACGGTGAGATTCGCCGTTCAGGCATATTTATTCTGTATACATTCGTGTATAATTGATTTAGGCTGTTATAAAAAAGGCTTGTTTATTTTCTAATTTAACTATACAAGAACTGACAAAGCAATATTGTAGCATTTAATAGATTTAATTGTTTGAATGTTGTATAGATTAATATGATCGTTGAGATTGTTAAATTAACATTTTTTAAAAATATTGCATTGTTTTATTCTCATGTGTGCTATAGCTTGTTATAAATATATAGTAGCTATACATTACTAGGCATTTGTATTTTGTATAATGTTTTTAGCCATTTTGTGATTTGTACAACATATAACAAGACGAAAGCGAGCTTTCGATTTTGTGAACTAACACAGGATATTATCGGTGTAATCTTATTTGCGCCTTTATTTAATTTTCATTTAATTTAATTGTCATTTAATATGTATATACATGTGACATTATATAGGTTGCTTTTAAGACAGAGAAATCGTATTTTTTAAACAATAAATATTTCACGGATAATTAAGAACCATGTTTGAAAAGATATCAATAATCAAATAGTGAATAGGTTGAATAAAGATAATATTAAGTGCTCGTGATAAGCTCTTTGCTATATTCAATAACGTAAATACATTAGATTGAAGCAACACTCGTGTATCTTAAACGATGAATGAAAATAGCATCACGCTTCACGGTCGAAATATCTAACTTTAATCTTCTTCTAATTCTAAGAACGAATTTATATTTTTCAAACATGTGTTTTTATAATTTTATAGAATTATTTAATAATATTAAAAATCTATAAAATAAAGTTTTTTTAAAATCCAGAGCATTTAACACAGTGTGATTTAATAGTTGATAAAATGTCTCGTTTTTTATTTTGATATTAGTATCTTGATATTATATATGTATTATATGTTTAAAAATAAAACGTGTCTGTGCATGCTGCTATTTATATTTAGCACTTGCATTACTCGATTTAGCTGCATTGTACTATATTGTATTTTGTTCGCATAATTATTATTGAATTTATTAATTACGATACGATAATAAAATAAGCCAAGTGTTTCGTGCATATTAATATATAAAGATTTCTTTGCAATTTAAAAAAAATTATTTATTTTATAAATAATATTGTAAGCTAATATGCTCGCGAAAAATGAAAAATGTTTCTTTACGTTTCATTGCAGAGATTCTTCTGCGAAATGCTTGGCACACTTTATACATATATCTGTATGTCATTATTAGTATAGTATTCTGTACATCAGCAATATATACATATAAAAAAAGAACACTGTAGATCTAAAAAAATTCACTATATTGTCAGCTTTGTGTATAGCTTGATTTTTTTGACTCGAAATCGACTGGCTCATCGTTCTCTCGTTTCATGCATGCCTCAACATAGGAAACAAACGAAATATAGACATCAGAGAGATTATATTATTATTTTTCAATTTTTTAATTAAGTTTTTTAATATCGCTTTTCTTAATCGTTGTTTACTTTTTCCGCACGGTCATTGTGTATAGTTTTCATGCGGTCACGCACGCCAAGCCTGAACGGATCGCTGTGCAGCCCTTACAGCAGCCTCAGTCGCAAGGTATGCCATGTGTCACTTAGCACAGCACTCTCTCGACAAGTATTTTCTGGTATCACTTCTCGTGCGTTACCTTTTCTTAGCATCGCGTGTTTTCGCTCTGTTTAAACGCTCGCGATCCGATTTCAATTCTATCGATCCGTCGAACGAAAGGCGACGTTTACACGCGACGTAAAATTTATCCGCAAATTTTATAAAATTAAATTGCATCATCAATCATTTTTTTTGTTAATTTTAATTATCAGCTGTGTCTGTTTCCCAGATCGTAAATATAATATAAATAAAGAGAGAGAAAATTGTGATGTAATTTTTTAATACACAGAGCGTTACTCGCTATGCAAGATATTTTCTTTTATATGCAAGGTGCGTCAAAAATATAAATAAAATAATGTAAATTATTTTGGAAAGAAAAAAGTAAAAGAAAGGCTTTAAAATGCAAAATAAAGGGAGATTTTTTTTTCGTTTATTCGGTTTCTTGCGCATCTTGTATAATGATATAACGTTTAAATAAAAATGAAAAAAGCAAACTATCCCACATGATATAAATTCATTAATTGCCTCAGTATTATCCCGCGCGAACTGGAAGTCCCGTCTGATCTTGAGGGAATACGGACGAGGGAGAAGATGTATCTAGGATTTATACTTACTCGTATTTGACTGAAACGCCCAGTCAAGGATATCTGAGACGCCCGATACAGCCGTACGATAAACCCCCAACTAGCCCGCATTTCCATAGACCTAGCTGTAAGTTTTTATTCTATTCATATTTTTGTTAGAATTGTAAAGTCGCTTCTTTAACACTATGAAGATGAGCAATAGAAACTATAACCCACTGAGAGTTTTCTATTAAATTTATTATTTTTTTTTTTTATAAATACTGTGAAAAAAATTATTTATTTTTAAATAAATTTGAAAGAACGTTTTTTATTTTATTATTATATTTAAAGATTTATAAAGTGTTTATATTATCTCGACTCTAGCAATTCATTTATATTTTCTGGAATTAATTTATTTCTGCTTTGTAGCATCCCGTTCGATAAGAAGTAGCGGTGGACGCAGCAGCAGATCGGGAATGCGAGCCTGGTCGACGCATTGAGCGACACCAGACCCAAGTCGCCAGCAAGTCAGGTGGATAACGAAGAACCGATAGAATTAGCTCATTATCCAGACGCCATGAAGCCACCTCCAGGTGCTCAACCACCAATCGAAAGAGATGATTTCCCTGCTCCGCCGTATCCTTACACTGATCCTGAAAGACGTAGACGATGGTCCGATACATATAAGGTATTGTTTTATTGTTCGATCCTTCTTCTCATTTGTTCTTTCAATGATATTTGTATTAAATTAATGTTTATTTCTAATTCAGGGAGTACCTGCATCTGATGACGAGGATGACGTGGACAACAAAACAACAACGTATATTAAAGAGGCGGAGCAAAAATTGAAAAAGGAGCAGGACGAGCTGAGTAAGATCGATACGGGAATAGCTAAGTATTCCTGCAAGATCGCGAAAAGGATCGAGAAAATTTGAGACATAGAGCTGCGAACGTTGATCCTAGAAATGCCTCGAGGACACCATCTGCCGCCAGGGAACCATCATACCGTTTGCGTTACGAGAGTCCTGTGGGTGCATGTAAGTTTGATTAATTTTATATTTATTTTAATGTAAAGATTTTTCAACGATTTAGCTCGTTGATTACGTTGAAAATTAAAATTGGATATGTAATTTATTAGATCTAAAGTGATGCAAACGGTATATTGTGTTTTAATACAAATATTTATGTAGAAACTAATTTCAATATTTTGTTGTAGCCCCCTCGCGAAATATTAGACCATGCACGGCCTTGGGAGGACGATGATGGTTTCAGTTATAGATCCAGCGGTCCTAGCTACAACGGTGAGTTTCCGTCACTTGTACGCGCCACTCGTAATTGTTTTATTAACATAAGTAACGATCATCTCATACATGTCCACACGTTCGCACATGACACTAACATATCACTCTACCGTTTGAAGTAACATCGATTAGAAAACTGTGAGTCTCGATAGAGCGGGGTTTCCCAGGGCGGGAGGGTCGTAAATGGTCCAGTTTTTACCACTGAAAGAAACACGTGGAGCACGAATTGGCGAATGCAAACCATCACGTGTGGGAGGGTTTTTTCACGCTAATTAACAAATGATGATAACTGTACGTAATGAGCAGGACTTTGTTTTAAGTGGGATTAGCACCAAATACTACTCATTGGACGCCCAATTAAATCTAACAGGTGATGTATATTGCCTATGCATGTTGCATCGTTTCCTTAATTCGGTGTGCTTGTCTTATTATCTTTCCGTTCGTCGAGCTGTGTCAGGCAGCGCGTCAACCAGATCCTCAAAATAATGGACAGTCAAAATTACCATTGCAATCTTTAGCCCTGGAATTATTTCCCGATGTAATTGATTCGTCCTATATTTTGCATGGCACCTTGGGACCACGAAGTCATCATACACGAATACACTTGCCCTCATTGCACACCACTGTCATTTTTGTGCACAGCCTATAGATAAAACTCAACTAGATTTTGATGAAATGTTAACTATTGATTTTCTTTTTTGTACATTTCAATAGGAGTTTGAATTAATTTCGCAATAACTATTTCACTTGAGTTTTAACCAAAGTTAACATTCGATATAAGGATTGATAATGAAATGAAACAAAATATATTATCGAAATAATTTCTATTTCTTCTAGCTTCATTTATAGTTGCATTATTCTTTGCGATAGAACTGGATTTTATCATCTCTCTTTCTTCTTATTATCTTATTTTATGAATAATTAAATAGTATAGCTAAAAAATTTATCTTTCGATCAATCTTTTAGTTCTAAAAATTGATAAAAAAAAATTGAATTGCTAAATATTAAAGAATTTGAATATTAATGCTTTTTTAGAGACGATTAATTTTTAGATATTTCCAGTTACACAAATATCACCTACAATATTGGGAGATAATTAGGCAGAATATTGTTTTATTTTATTGCACCAGCGCAT